TGGAAGATGTTATGGTTGTGGCCGGGTTCCCCCCAGCCCGGATTCAAATCAAGGCGAGGGCAGAAAAGTGGAGTAAACAGAGAACCATCCAGGAATGGCAGTGCAGGTGGGACAACAGAGAATCTTGGACTCGCGAGTTAATACGTAGTTTGGGTAAGTGGTTGCGGAGGAAACACGGAGAGGTGGACTATTTCCTCACCCTGTTCCTAACCGGGCACGGTGAAAACGGAACGTATTTATATCGATTTCGAAAGCGCGGGAGTGACGTGTGCGTGGACTGTGACGAAGTAGACACTGCTGGTCATGCCATATTCGAGTGCCATAGGTGGGCAAGGCAAAGAATAGAGCTGGAGACGTGGCTGGGGAAGCAGATCAGCACAGAAAACGTCATAGAGGAGATGACCGAGTCTGAGGAGAAGTGGAATCGGGTGAAGAGCTACATAAATGGAATTATAAGCAAGAGAGAACGAGAGGGACGAGAGAGAGAGAGAGGGCAGTATAAGCTCGAGAGGCCAACAGTAAATCACTAGGCTAACATCCAGATGGCGAACACCTGCCACCGGGCAGCCCTCGGCTGTGAAGAATGCCAATTGGCGATACCCGGCCGAACTACTAATGTCTTAGAGAGAGGAAAGGGTTTTAGTGGGTAAACCTTACCTAGATGGAAGGGAGTCCCACACACCCCCCGCTATAGAGCCAAGCGGGGAAGCCTATAAAAGGTTTCCCAAACCTCGATTTAAAAAAAAAGGTTAGGTTAGGTTAGGATGGAGGCGGTCATAGAGGAGGGGGAGGAGGAGAAAGACGGCAAAGAAAAGTATATCTTCGTAGCGGCCATAGAAGGCAACACTGACGAAGAGAGGGCGAAGAAAGTGATCGAGACGATAAGAAAAGCCGCTCTGCGGGTGGAGTCGAAGGGTCACAGGCAGGTGAAGATTTATGCAGCGCCCGAGGAGCGGGAAATGTGCATCAAAATTGCGGAGTGCGTGCTGTACAAAAAGACCATTCAATACGGGTATGACGGTAGGCGGAGTGAGAGCGGAAGAAGGGCCAGGCAAGAGGTGTCGCTCCTAATTAAAGAAGACGGCAAGACGTACGCAGACTTGCTGAAGGGGGCCAAGAAAGCGCTGGGAGGTGAACCCAGCCAGGCCGTTAAAGCTGTCCAAAAAAACAAGGAGGGACACTTACGTCTAGTAATGGATAAAACCAAGTCAGACATTAAGGGAGCAAAGGAAAAGCTACAGCAGGAAATGATGTCGGCAAGCTGCACGGTGAGAGGGGAGGAACGGGAGAGAGTGGCGTTCCATCTTCGTGATATAGATGAGCTAACGACAGAGGAGGAGATAAAGACGGCGCTCACGGCAATCCTAAAGCCAGACAACCCCGAAAAAATAGAGGTCAGGCCGATAAGGGGGCCAGAAGGAAGCAATAAGGCCGCCAGACCGTTCTTTGGAGCAACAGCTGGAGAGCCACAATAGGGTCTGGATAGGCATTATCCCCTGTCGCATCAGAAGAAGGGTAGAAGTCGGAAAGTGCTTTAAGTGCTGGGAAATCTACGAGCCTGGGTATGAGTGCAGAGGGGGAGAAAACGCCGCGAAGAGGTGTTATAACTGCGGCCAAGCCGACCACGTCAGGGAGAAGTGCACAAACCCCAAGAGGTGCTATATGTGCGATGAGGACGGGCACGCTCCGTGGACAATGGCTTGCGCCAAATTCAAACAGGCCGTTAGGAACGCGGAGGCCAAACGTAAATCCTCGAGGTTAGTGAACAGCTTGGCCCCTGGAAGATACTAGTCGTGATAAGCTGTGATACTTTTGTCCTGACTCAAATTTTAAAACCTACCGTCTTTGTTTGTTTTTAAACTCCATTCATACAAATTTTAACGTGTTTTATGTGATGCCCGTCCTCTATATATCTGACATAGGCTCAAAATTCTTGTTTTTAACGTGTTACACATGGTGCCTGTCCCCTATATTTTTAAACATAGTGCAGTTTAAACATTAATATCTTGGCTAGTGATAGTGAGAGTATAATAGATGACTATAAAATATTATTGTCTGGACACGGCTATGAATCGTTAATAAACGAGCCGACAAGAGTAACTCAGCAGTCCGCAACCTGCATTGATCATGTGTATGCAAAGGTCGCATGCAAAAGCAGGACGAAGGTTGGTGCTACGATCGAGCACGCTCAAATCACCGATCACTCGCTGGCGATGGTGACGTTCCAGGTGGAACTTGGAGCGCGTACTCTTACCTCTGCCAGCCGGCCAGCTGATTCTGGTTATCGAAAGCGTATCGATTATGACGTACTTGATGGTCTGCTTAATAACGTTGACTGGAGTCTTATTTATCAGCATAATAATGCCTCGATAGCGTTTGACCTATTCTTTAATACCCTCCAAAATTTGATAAATAAAAGTCAGGTGTCAGTTAAGATAAGCAATCCTTTAGTTCATTTAAAACCATGGATAAGCGATGCACTCTGTAAGAGGATTCTTTTTAGGAATAAGTTGTATAAAAGGTTTAAACGTAAATCTGGTGTCTCAGATGAGAAATTTAGGCTATTCTTTATCAGGTATCGAAATAAGTTAAACAATGATATAAAGGATGCCAAGGAGGCATATTATATGAACTTGTTTAACAACAGCAAGGGAAATTCTAAGAACACCTGGAACATCATTAAGGATATTACAGGGCAACAAAATAAAAACACACAGTTTGCATTGGAAATACAAGGTAGTATACATAAGGACTGTAAATATGTGGCTAACGAATTCAACAAATATTTTTTAACGGTAGTTGATAGTTTAGTCGGTAACTTGAGAATACCACATATCCATGGAACATTACCTTATAAAAACTTATACAACCAACACGGTGAATTACGGTCCATGTTTATTGAAAATGTGCTTCCACATGAGCTACTCAGCGCAGTCAATTCTTTAAAAATTGGAAAAGCGCCTGGTTTGGATGGCATTAATTCATTTCTAGTTAAGCGTATATTTTCTAAAATATCTGAAGTTTTGTTACACTTAATAAACTTGAGTTTTCAAACGGGGATTTTTCCTTCTAAATTAAAAGCCGCAGTGGTGATCCCTATACATAAGAAAGGTCCGAAAACTCAATGTAATAACTACCGACCCATTTCATTAGTGTCTACGTTTTCAAAAATTATAGAGAAAATTATGAAATCTAAATTATTAAAATTTTTTGACTTAACGGAATTTTTTAGTAAAAACCAATATGGCTTTAGGGAAGGGGTAAATACTGAAACAACCTTGCTTAACTTTATGGGCATGGTTTGTGATGGTCTTAACCAGGGGAAACGTGTCAGTGGCCTATTTTTAGATATAAAGAAGGCCTTTGACACGGTCGACCATGGCATACTGTTAAGTAAACTGTATGAATGTGGAGTAAGGGGAGTTGTTTTGAAGTGGTTTTGTGATTATCTCACTCATAGAACACAGCGTGTTAAAATAAATGGAGTTCTTAGTGATATCGGTATAATCAAATGTGGGGTACCGCAAGGGTCAGTTCTGGGCCCCACATTGTTCTTAGTATACATAAACGATCTTTGTAATGCCCGCCTGCAAGGCACAGTTACGTCATTTGCGGATGATACGGCTTTATGTTACACTGCTAATAACTTCCTAGATATAGAGAGGGCCATCAATAGTGACCTCATGGCACTGCAGTGGTGGTTTACGCAGAATAAAATGGTCCTGAGTCCAGAAAAAACTAGCTATATAAATTTTAGCCTTAGAGATCCCGTCAGTTTTAGTGCTCCATTAGTATATAAGTGTATAGATTGTTTATGCGAAAATTCTACTTGTACTATAGACTGTGTGGAGATTAAAAGCTGTAATTCTGTGAAATACTTAGATCTGATTTTGGATTGTGAAGTAAGTTGGAAATTACACATAACGTATCTCAAATCCAAATTAAGTAGTATCCTAAGGATCTTTTATTTTTTAAGGAAAATGTGCCCTCAGCGTATACTAAGACTACTTTATTTTGCTTTAGTACATAGTCGATTGGATTATGGAATATCGTGTTGGGGAGGGACCTATAAGACCAATTTAAGCACTGTCATAAAACTTCAAAAGCAGTTCATCAGAATTACCCTAAATAAGAGAAAAACAGATCCGTCATATCCTCTATTTCTAAGCCTTAAAGTCCTACCCTTAAGATCAATGTTTGTTTACAAAGTTTTAAAAAAAACATTTAGTGGGAATTTACCCGATATCGATGTACATAATTATCGAAGAAAGTTACGTAGTAAATTTCAATTTGTTGTTCCTAAGCCTAACCTAACTCATTTTACCAAAACATTTCACTTTTTAGCACCAAGAATTTTCAATAAAATTCCTAATATCATAAAGTGTTTGAAATCCAAACCGGTTTTTCTTTCACGGATAATGCGATGGCTGCTATCGTTCCCAGATGTTGAATTTTTAATTGAAGTACGGGGGTAGGTAGCTAGTAAACCTACGTGTATAAGCCAAATTATCCACTTCTACAATACGGTATTTTTAGAAATGTAACTTACTTATAAATAATTCTTAATTCTAGTACTTTGGTATATATTGTGATACACAAAAAATTATGTTTTTGTTCAATGGTCTGGTTTTATTCTGACCGCAGGCTTACTGTTTTCATTTTTAGTTTAAGTGCGTGAGGGTGTCCTCTACACAGGCTTGCCTTAGAGGCCCTAAGTTTTTTCTCTAGTATAGCATATATATATATATATATATATATATATATATATATATATATATATTAGTTTGTCAATCAGATTGTTGATTAATGTTAATTTTATTTTGTGTTAATTCAACTACTCTGCTGCTGTACTTGAGCAAAAATAAAAAAATTCTTATTCTTATTCTTAGTGTCTGATCCCCGATTGCCAGAAAAATCCAGTTGTAAATCGTGATATCTCCCGAACCCAACATGGCGATCAAGTCAGTCCAAGACCTTTTTATACATAACCCATAATAATTATGATAAAAGTCATACAAGCCAACATTAATAATTCGAGAGCGGCTTTTGACCTGTTAATCCACACCGCGCGAGAACGTGGGGCGGACCTGCTCGTCGTGTCAGAATGCGCAAAAGCCAAGCACCCCAATATGGTCAAAAGCAGGACGGGAAGGGTCGCGCTAATAGGGACTAGCGAAAGCGCCACAATAAACAAAGTGAACTCGGGAAGAAACTATGTGTGGGCGGATATTGATGGCGTAGTAGTGTGCGGATGTTACTTTCCTCCCAACGACACCATCGAAACCTTCGGAGATGACCTGGACGAATTAATTAAAGACCTGAGGGGGCGAGGAAAATCTTTTGTGGTGGCGGGCGACTTAAATGCAGCATCGACTGTGTGGGGATGCGAGAAAACTAATAAAAGGGGAAACATGGTGGAAGAGATGGCGGCGGTAATGGACTTGATGGTAGTCAACGAGGGTAATGCGCATACCTTCGAGAGGGGAGAAAGTCGCTCAATTATCGATATAACGCTAGCAAGCGGGGGCTCAACCAACTTCAATGTCCGTAACTGGAAGGTCGAAAATGAGGAAACATTGAGCGACCATAAATATATCAGTTTCAATATAGATAGCGCAAAGCCGAGGCCACCAAAAGACCAAAACAAGAAGGGCTGGAATATTAAAAAGATCAACGAGGAGAAGTTACGGGAGAGGATGGGATCGGAACATAGGTCGACTACACCATCGGAATTGGATGCCCTGCTGAGGAAGCTTGCAGACCACTCAATGCCCAGAACATCATTCGGGGCTAAGAAGCGAAGAACATACTGGTGGAACGCCGAAATAGCAGCGCTCAGGACTAAATGCGTGCAAAAAAGAAAGCGCTACACTAGGGCCGGAAGAAGGGAGCTACATCAAAACGACCTCGAAGCGGAAGATCTAGCGGCCAGCCGCAAGCAACTGAGGAGAGCTATAGGAAATAGGAAGAAGGAGTGCTGGCGTGTGATGAGCTCGAAAAGGACGTATGGGGCAAAACCTACAAGATCGTCGTGGGGAAGATGGGCCTGAGGGAGCGAGCTATCGGCCTAGACTCGGAGGTTCAAGAACAAATACACGAACTCTTCCCCCTACGGGAACGAATAACACGGCAGCGGACGGAGGACGACTAAGACAATGGTTAGGTTAGGTTAGGTTAAGTTCAAAGTTCAAAGTAAAAAAATTCGATTTAACTCAATAACACATCTCGAACTAACCTAACTGCCCATTTCGACCTAACCTAATTTCCATCATCTCGACCTAACCTAACTGCAATCTACTACACATTCCGACCTAACCTAACCGCCGTCTCTAATAAAAAAAATAAACAGAATACATACGCAGAAAGTCGTACTACAAATGCGCAAAACTTTTTTATTTATATCAATAGATGATAAAGAATTGGTATACAGTTAAAACAGAATCGTATGTTACCTATAGCATGGAACGAAACGAAATAGCACACAATATCCAAAACCCAATAGGTTTATATTACAACGAAAAAATACTAATACAAACGTAAACTCACGCTAGCGAAGTCTTTAAATGCGTAGCATTTTTATAAACACATACGCCGAGTTTGACTAAAAAAAAGACTATCGATATATTGGTGCTTTTTCGAGCCGAATCAAAATTCTTTTCCTTTCTTTTTCGCATTTTACAAAATTCGTCATTTACGTCATTTAAAAACAACCCAAACTGCAATCGCACAACGGTCGAGCTAAAAAAAAAATGTACAAACGGAAAACCACAAAAAGCGCTGTGATCGGTAGGAGCGAGCGACGCGAGCTCCATTCCGATCTAGTTACACCAATAAAGTCATTAAATAAGTTTGCATAAACGATTTCTTAAAAATGTGCTATAATTAAATTACCTAACCTCAACCTAACTTTCGTTATTAAAAGAACAATTGTTATAAATTTTAACAGTCACCGTGGAATGTTCACCTGCATTTATAGTAATTCCGGGGACATTCTGTAACGAGTTAACGGTGGTGGATTGTTCTCCGCTAGTGACAGTACATGGTTTCGTGGAGGGTCCAGCTTAAGGTTGTTCGGATTGAGTAGTCAAAACCGAAAGTAACTCTGCGACTTCAATTCTTTTTTTTCTAGATTGATCAACGTAACCCTCTGCTGTTGAAGAACTTTTCCACCCACCATGTTGCTTCAGTGTCATTATATCTGCACCATTGTTCGCCAAGTGTGATGCTGATGATCGGCGAAAGCAATGCCCGGAATATTCATCACAGTTCCGCAACTTGAGATATCTTGCAATAATTCGGGGCATCTCGCCTATTGTGTTCAAACCAATTGGTTGCACCGTGCAACGTCCTTGTCGATAAAATATGAAAAACCGTTTGTGAGTTATATGTACAGGTCTTAAGCAAGCATACTGCTTGATTAAGCCTATCCACATTGCATTGGTATTGCAAATAGCCTTGGACGTTTAGTTTTGGTTTTTGGTACCGTCACAAAAATTGAATCGGACTTGTATTCTATATCATCCGTAAGCAAATTTTTTAGTTCCTCCCGCCTGCATGCTCCGGAATAACCAATTATAAGAATTACCTATAAATGTATCAGTATGTAATCGTTGATTGAAAGTTAATAAAATTACCTTTGCTGCCAAAATACTCTTGTGTTGGGTGCTTCATTAATGAATCTTTCTATTTTAGGGTCTGTGCCGTCGGCTTGACCCCAACGAGATTACGTCTCTGATCTTACACCGAAACCCTTCGCCTGTCACACCCCCTTGCCTCTTCCACGTCTAGACGGACTCCCGAGACGCGCTTGGCGTGCGCCGGTCCCCGGACGAAGAACGCACGCCAGAGCGGGAGCGGGACGCATATTTGTATATAGCAGACACGTTATCCCTTCGGATAATTTCGACGACGCACGAACACCGTTTGTATCCAGCAGACGTGTCCATCTAATACGTCTGTTATTTACAAGTCATTGTATCGCGGCACAGGTTGAATTCTTTCGGATTGTTTAAGGGAAACATATTGATAAAATAACCTAGTTTACGGTGGTGTTGTACAAGTAGATTGGTGTTTGTTTATTAGTGTGCTAATAATTTAAAAAAATGCGTGCATTACCTGAGGGTTATGAATATATACTTAAAGACAATAATATAATAGTTTGTAGACTGTTTACCAAAGAAGATGTAGAGGTAAGTTGTATAATGTTACGTATTTAATGTTTTTATAACCTATAGGTATAGTGAAAGTTTTTGATGGGTGCAGTGAGGTCATTTTCTTGCATCCTTATTTATTTTGTTTATTGTGAGAGTGACGATAGATATGCTACCAAAATCTTTCATCTTATACGTCTTTTATAACGTATACGTCTACCGCGGGTCTAGTAATTTTATAATACTATTAAGGTATTAAAATAATATTTTCTTAGAATTGTCGTTTAATTTCTTATTGTTCATTTTAAACTTGAAACGTCTGAAATTTTGTTAAACTAAAAGTGTTTTTAACGGGGTGCTCTAATTTAAGAGTGTAACGAGTGGTTTTATTTCGCGCCAAATTTCATTAAAAATTTCGAAATTTCTTGTCATGATAGTGAAGGTCACCCTGTATATTTCATTATTTGTTCCGGTTAGAAATTTTGTGTTTGGGCATTTCGGTTCGCTCAAGACTATGGTCCGATAGATTTAATTTCGCTCAGATTTAATTTCGTCGTGGGAAGAGTGCAAAGCTGATTGACGTCATCATGAGTAATGCGAGTTGTTTGTCGTTCATTTATCAACTTTGGCGCCGTCTAGACCGAGAAAAGGAGCGGATGTAGCACCGAGCTATCAGAGATAAGGGGCCTTTTAACGTCATCAGCAGAAAACCGTGAGATCAGTTTTAGTCAGCAGTTCCTTGAGGTTGACGACGAAGTTGGAGTGGGTTAAGTTTTCTTTATCTGAACCAATGGGAGAATTTCTAGCGGGAGCCATTTTTGTTTTATGGTAATTTGGGTGTGGTTTTTTGATTTCAATTCTGAAGAAGGGGATCGTTTTTGGGGAGACTCGCGGTTAGTACTTCAAGCGGTCAACACGTACCTTGAGCGATCGTTTTGGTACACTTGGCGGTTTGAGCCACCGGCTTATTTCGGTTGCTCCCAGTTGCGTGCTTTTTGCACCCGTTTCGAAGTGTTATTTTCTTTGCGCGTTGATTTTTTGGTGAAGAAGACCCAAGTTTCAATCAGGTGATATTTGGGCGAACCCTTGAGCTTCACCCCAGTTTATTTTGGATGCAGTGAATCGCGTTAGGATACGTTGTGTTTTCTCGAGGATACATAATTCAAAGTGCTGCCCTAGTCCTCAAGGCGCAGAATTTCGGGATCCGCCCCAGTTGGAATTTCCTACTAGTGCCGTAAGGTCATTTGTCGAAGGAGCGCTGCGTTTCGGAGAGATATTTGCCCCAAGAAGAGCTGGTGAAATAATACTTTGAACCATCGCGGTTTACCGTCGGATAGTGATCATAAAAGTTTGTGTTCTGCCGTACCGCTAACTCAAAAAATCTGTCTCCCGCAGGCGGTCAAAGCTAATAAACTAATAAAATAAAATTAAATACACTGTGCTGTGTAGAAACTTTGGCAACTAGCCGTCTCCCACTCGCCACGCGAAGGATTTCCTGGACTAAGTTTCCGTTCAAACACTAAACTTTGCTTTCGTTCCGAGGAAGGATAGGCACCGTGGATTTTTGTTTCCGTGTGTTAAATTCAAGCCACTCCCTAGGAAGTCACAGAGACCTAAGTGTCAGGTTTCATCACATCCACCCTGTACCAGAGGAAAGAGCAGTTCACAAGATCGGCTGTACAAATGTTGTAAAGGTTAGTCTAATTAAATTTGTAATATTCTGTAAAATTCCACTTTTTGGTAATTAAGCTATAGTAAAAAATTTTTTGAGTTGATTGTTTATTTAAGTCCAATGAACGATTACCAAAGAGTAGGATAAATTTTTGTGTTTATTTAAATAAGTCCCAGCCCATGCTGGATTAAAAACCGATTACCTGTTGTTGCAATTTTCAAACTGTAGAGGATGGCCACCCCTTGAGTAAATTAGTCTCACCTGTTAGGATTTTTTTATTTAGTTTAGTTGTCATTGTTAAGCTAGTGTTTTTACAAGGAGAAGAGAAGAACTGCTAGATCCCTGTAAATTGTTTGTATCGCTAATCTCATTTCAATATATTATCTATTTGGTTTCAATGTGCCTGTCTTTAAAGAAGAACGAGGGGAAGGAAAGGGAGGAGTAGGAGTTGAGGCAGGAGACTGGTAGGCGGCAGGTCAAGGTTTGTTACGCAGTTTCAAAAGAGTTAAAAGCCCACCGATTTGAGTTAGCCGGAGCATTTATTTTTATCGATTGAGCAGCCTAAGAAGAAGACGGTTTGCCTTGCCGGGCGGAACCGATGGTAATCTTCAAATCCAGAAGGAACCCCCGTAGCAAGAGGGTTTAATATTTTAATATACATACATACCTATGTATTTTATTTTGACAATAATTGGCCTCGGGGTCGGAATTTTTGACATATACCAATATGTACTTTTTATTAGATGCCTAAAACATATTTTTTTCCTTAGAAATGGGTCTCTCTTCTTGAGGCGTTAACAAAAGAAACCTGGACCATCGAAAAAACTTTTAAAATTCCGATGACGGCACCCAGAAATATTTTTAAACGTATTTATCGATGTCATTTAAATACTTCTACAAAACAGAACAGAACAACGACAGAAAAGAAACAAAAAAAATCAAGAAATATTGATTGCCCTGCAAAGGTTTTTATAACTATCAAAAAAAGTTTTAAATTGTCTAAGTCTACTAAACCATCTATAACAACAGAAGAATACCCGTGTCTGATAGAATTTAAATCAACACATAATCATCGGTTAAACGTCATTGAGGCCCTTCGTGAGAGGCCTCTAGGCCCAGGGGCTAAGCAAAAGATAGGCGAACTTTTTAACAGAGGCCATTCTGCAGCCACAGCTTATCACACCTATTGTATGGATAAAATGGAGGAACTGGGTGATGAATATGAAGATATATTATATGATAGGCATTATATTCCAACAAAAACGGATGTATCTAATTTGTGGAAAAAGAAATTTAAAGAAGACTTTGGTGATCGTACTGGTTCCAATATGCTGCTTAAGTTAGAAGAAATGCTGGCTTTTCATAAAGAGAAGTCAGGTCTATGTTATAAAATAACAACCTTACATGATAATTATGCTGTAGCTATATGTACACCTCTTATGCAACGTTCCATAGAAATACCTCAAGCAAGTGAAATTATGTTTGTTGACGCATCCGGTAATTGCGATGCTTATGACCACAAAATATATTTTTTTGTGGTCCAAAGTGCTGCCGGAGGATTACCCGTTGGATGCATTTTATCCAATTGTCAAAAAACTGATCTGTTTGATATTGCAGTTAAGGAAATGCTAGCCATATTGCCTACAAAAATTAGTCCTGCAGTTATCATGACTGATGACGATTTGGGCGAAAGAAAAGTTTTAAAAAAATATTGGCCAGAAGCACAATTACTATTATGCGTCTTTCACGTAAAAAAAGCTGTTTGGAGATGGATTCTAACGGCAAAAAATGGAATTCCAAGGGATTCGGCACAACATTATTATAAATTGTTTAAAAATATTTTGCATTCTAAAACAGACCATGAACTAAATGATGCAAAAGAAAACTTTAATAAACATTGCAACCATAGTGGCTTTAAAAATTACATTGGGGATATGCTGATTCGGGAAGAGACTTGGTGCTTACGATATAGGACAGATTTAATGTTGAGAGGAAGTGATACTAACAATTATACAGAAACAATGTTTCGCCTATTAAAAGACATACCTTTGGAAAGAGCCAAAGCATTTAATTTGGTTCAACTCACTGACTATATAATAACAAGTTTTGAAAATTATTATAGGCAGCGTATATTAGATTTACTTTTCAATAGGGTCTCAAAAACGGTTGCTACTAGATATCTACCTAAAGTAACTAATACAAAAATTATTGTGGAGCCTATTAACATCGAATCAATGGAATTTTCAGCAACAAGTGAAAAGGACCAAAATGTTATATATCATGTTGATCTTCAGGCATGTATTTGTACATGTGTAATGGGTTTTAACGGCAAACATTGAAGCACCAAGCCGCCGTATTGCAAAAATACAAATTTTTGGGTGCAAAGAATACACTTACCCTTAGCACTAAATTACAACTTTACAAAATTGCGACAGGAAAGGAAGCAAATAAAAATATTTTTCTGCCATTACAAACTAATAATGATATCGCTGTATCGGAAATTTGCGTGGAAAAAAGCAATTTAACGCCTTTAGAGTATAAAGAAAATGGCAAGGAAAGTAGCGAGGAAAGTAGCAATAGTTTTTCGACCGAATTACTAAAGGAAAAATGGACGAACCACTATAATTTAATAATGAAACAAATTGAAGATCCCGAAAATTTTTGCCCAGCTGTAGAAGCTTATCTCAACAATTTACAAAAATATGCTTGTTCGAAAAGTTCATTACTATCTGGTTTTCACACAGCTTTTAAATATAAAGGATGTCCTAAGAAAAGCAACCATCAAATGTAAAAGAAGAGGAAAAAATATTCCTGTTCAACCAACATCGGTAGCACGCCGAAAAGTCCCATGTGGAAGCAAAAGAGTTAAATCTGGAAGGTTATCGTCAGAGGTTAAAAAAAGAAAAATTGCACCTCATTCCTTGCAGCAGTGCGTAAATAAAAATATTGCACTAGGCGGTAATAAGTATAAAAAATAAATGTTTTACGATGTTATTGTTGTTTTGTAATGTTATATTTGTTTAAAATATTCTTTTGCTAAATTAAAATATTCTTCCATTATTTGTAATAGTTCATAAGTTTATTTTATTCCCTAAACATTAGTTTAAACAATCACCTATTTTATAATATGTAACTACATAATATATATTATTTTATTTAAATAAATTTGCTTTTTTTCAGAAAGTGAGTGACTGATTCTTACGTATTTTTATATATTTACAATATGTACTATTTAAGTGTTATTTTTACGAAAACTGCAAAATCGTATGGTACAATATAAAATTAATTTTTTTCTGGTTTAATTTTAATTTGACTAATAAAATTTGAATTATCGCCCGTATGAGAAAATGCAAATAAAAATAATAGCTAGTAAACAGCAGACGTATTAGAGCGGACTCGTCTGCTAAATAGAATTCTTGGTTCGGCTTACATGTTGTAGCTAACGCGTCTGCTATATACAAATATGCGAGCGGGACTCTTCTTTAGTACGCTTTGAATTTGCTTCGATGCCTGTACGTTGTTACGCCTCTCGCAAGTTAATATTTGTTTAGTGAGTAATTTTTTCGTTGTAAAAAGGTAAGAGCTTTGTTTTGTGCGTATAGATTGGGAAGAAAATGCATGCTTAGTCGTGTTAATGCTACCAGCTTTTTTGCAACAGCTGTTGGATGTCCTTTCATGATCCAAGCACCCTTGAGTCTTGATCATAGTGTGCCCAAAAGACTTCCTTCGTTGTCTCGTATGGATTTTGCCTCGTATGGATTTTTCCTTTTGCATCTGTGCCGCTCTTGGGCCGCGCCTGCCGCCCTTGGGCAGCGCCGGCCTCTTTTGAGCCGCGCTTGCTTTTTGTTGGCCGCGCCGGTCAATTTTAAGCAGCGCTGATCAAGTTGGTCGGCGTCGGCCAAACAGCAAACCTCAAATTATTAATATTTGCCTTGTTTTCTTTCAGAAAATCGAAGATAATATGCAGACTATGGAAGAACTAGCTAAGTTGGAGCCTGTTTCTGCAAAGGATAAGGAAGGCAATTTTTAATAGAGTGGTTAAAATCGCTGACCGACACTTGCCGGAGGGCTGGAAACTTTGGAAAGTCTTCTCGTTTAATAGAGAGAGTCTTCTAGGAAAAGACTACGATCCCCATGTTCTGAACAAAATTAGATTTGCGCTCCCCACGGTAGAAATGGTGCAAGCCTTTTTTCCAGAAGCCGAACATATTTCAGAGAAGGGGTACAGAGAGATAAAGCTAAGCATGCTAAATTGGCCTTTTTGTATTGGTCTTATTATTAGCCCATCAAGCCTGGCTTCTCGAGTGAGGGGATCTACTGCTCAAAATGAGCTGGTAGTAGCGGCAGTTAGCAGGCTGAAACATTTGATGGTGGGGCAAAAAGAGGCTTCCCGGCAGCTATCAAAGAATGTCCATAGTAACGATAGCGAAAATTTTGCTTCGAGTGCCCGACGATCAAAGAGTAAGGATAGAATCCAAAACGTCGTTCGCAGGGAGCCGGAGCAAGGTCGTATTGGGAAGCTAGAAAAAACAACGGAAGAGTTAAAAACTATGTTTCAGTCATTTATGGATTCTTTCGGCAGGCATTCTAGAGAATCTACACCTAGATCTGCATCTCATACAGAAGTTAGCCATTTGGAGCCCTTTTTGCTTGAATATTCAAGTGATGTTGATCCGGAGGAAGAATATACTTCAGAAAGATTTCCGCCCTTGTTGGATTTGGATGTGGAAGAGGATGCTGAAGATAGCTTTTGTTTTGACTTTGCTCCGAAGACAAAAGAGCAGGAACCGCTTGTTCCGCCTGCAAAGCCTCATATTGAATCCCAAGGCATTGAATGCTTAAGATTAGGAAAATCTTCCTTTAATCGAATTAGGTACGCCGATGTTCAAAAAAAGCTTCAAGCGTCGCCTGTGTTTTGTGCGCTTAAGGTAAATAACCAGCTACTACATAAATCTTCGCACAGTGCCACCTTTGATCAGCTGTCAAAGATGGATTTAACTCTAGGTACCATTCTTCATGGTCTGTTACTGCAAAGAGATTCCTTCGCTGAAGCCTTAAAGAAACTTGTTGATAAGCATCCTACTATTAAGAAAGATGTACAAGAGCTTTTGGTTGGCCCGGAATCACAGTTCCGACAAAATTCTGACGATAGTTTCCGGGAAAAGGTCAGAAGTCATTGATCAAAGAAGAAAATTCTTTTTCCCAAAGAATTCTCAGATTAACTCTCAACTCGAGAACATTCCTCCATCTACCATGCATTTATTTGCAGAAGAACCACTGACTGATTTGATTAAACAGCATGGCAGTGCATTTCGTACTCCATACAACCGATTCGTACCGGCGTTTAAATCTCAAGCAGGCCCCAGTAGGCTGCAAAATCAGGCGAAGAGATCTTTTATTAAAACACAAACTACACAGTCTGAGCGCACAAATCAAAACTATTCCGTGAAAGAAACGAAAAATAGGAAGCGACGTGCCTTTCCCAGAGGTACTAATTCCTCTGCAAAGAGACCAAGGAGAATATGACTACCGTCGGTCGCTCTTTCAAGCAGGACAATTGCAGAATTTTGTAGATCGCTGGGAGACCTTAAGGCCGGATGTCCACCGCATCGGGCCGACGAAGATCGGTACGATTTGAATCGCGCACCTGCATTTCTACTGAAGCCTGTCAACAGACTCGACTAGAGACGCTTCAGTAGAAATGCAGGTGCGCGATTCAAATCGTACCGATCTTCGTCGGCCCGATGCGGTGGACATCCGGCCTAAAAGCTCCAAAAAAGATCTTAAACTCAATAAAAGGTTATTCTATTCCATTTATAAAAAAGCCGCCGCTCGTATCATTCCAAAATCAACAGTTGAAAACAAAACTATACGACGCTTCATTTGGACATGGAAGTAGAACAAATGATCAGTCAAGGTGTTCTGGAAAGGTCAACCTATCAGAGCGGATTTGTATCCCAAATGTTTTCAACGCCAAAGCCAGACGGTTCCAGAAGACCAATTTTCAATCTGAGGGTTCTAAATCAATATCTCAAACCAAAAAGTTTTCGTCTGATAAATCATCAAACAATTCCCGGTTTCTTACAAAACCAAGACTTTATGACCAAAATAGATATATCTCAGGCATATTTTCATATACCGATCAAGGAGAGATATCGAAGATTTTTATCAATGGTTTACAAAGGGGAGGTTTATCAAATGACCTGCTTACCCTTCGGGCTCTCGACAGCTCCTTTAGAATTTTCTCGCATCGCAAACTGGATAGCAGAACTTCTCCGCAAGAAGGGAATAAGAGTGGTGGTATATCTCGACGATTTTTTGATAGCCAACCAGAATGCAGATATTTTACGTTTTCAAACAAAAGAGGCAATAACCCTTCTAGAACACGAGCGTCTCCCAACAGTAAAAAATTTTGGCACAAAGACGTCACGAGTATCAATGACGTGTTAATCACATGGTATCTCGCTCGTTATGTTTATGTTATTATGAATCTTGAGGTTAGGTATACAATTGGCGAAAATTTAATATAGTTCTACGCTTTCTGGAAATACGATTTTTGTGTAACACCTCTTCCATTTACGTCCCATAAATGTAATGTGGCTTTGATTCTTGTCTTTATTTCTTGCTCTAGAGGTGCTAAGAGCAACTCAACAGGCCATCTCATTCGTATCGTATCGTAGGTAATATAGCCTGTGGTATCGTACTTTAGATATTTGTTTATTGAAATAGAATGATTGTAAAACTTTCTTTTATAGGTGGAACCATTTGAAGTGTTTATTGGACTATTTGTGGCAACAATGTTTATGTGTAATATATGTAGAAAAGAATATGTGTCTAAGAAGAGTTTGTCGAGACATACAAAACTTAAACACGAAATGGAGTACCATGCTAAACACACGAACTATCAATGTATGCATTGTAATGTTTCGTTTCAAAATAAATCGAATATTATCATTCACCTTAAATCACACCGAGAAGTAACGGAACGACATGGTCGTTTATTATGTCCTTTTCAACAATGTAACCACGAAATTATCCGAAATTATGCTAATCTAAATAAACATTTAGTAGAAAAACATAATTATGAAGCTAAAGAAGAGGTGTATGAATTTGTGGAAGACTATGGTATGTACTGTGTTGTCATTTTTTATTGAGTATAATGTTTGTTTTTATGTATTGTAGAGTTTGATACATGGAAGGCAAATATGGAAAGTAATACAAATGCAAGTTATGTTCTGGATACTTGCGAAAAGAAATTAAAGAATGGATTACGGCAATACCTTAACTGTCATAGGTCCTTCAATTTTTCAATGAAACAATCACGCAAAAGATCCATTAAACACATTGGAAGCAACAAGATAGGATTTGCATGTCCATCAAGAATGGTGGTGACAAAAACTTTCCAAAAAATATTGGTAACATTTTACCCCAATCACTGTGGACATGAATGTGAAATGGGTAGGTTAAGATTGCAACAAAATGATAGAAGCACATTAGCAGGTAACAGCCACTTTTTGAAGTAACCTATAAACTATAATTACTTAAGGGGATTGGATTCGACGCAATCCCGTATGTGACATTTCACACGTAGGTATTCATACCATTACGTCAATTCTGGGTGTCATATCTCACAGGTGCAAGCAGAGAATCCAAACAGCTTAGTAGTTCTCAAAATACCTACCTACTTAATGATTATTGAAGATAGCAAACATATTTTTTTGTGAGCGGTAGCTCTAAATAGATTCTATGGCGGAAAGGGTATGAGAATTTGTCAAAGTTACATAACTACAAGTTTTCGGCGTTGTAACTCCAGAGGCAATTGTGAAAGCGCACGTATTCCGTAATTTTGAAGTAATTTTCGGGCTGACATCTTCTCATACACTTTCCGCCATAGTATACATCTAGAGCACTTACAAGTAAGTGTATCGTGATCTAGAATAACGCACGCAAAAAAAATATTCTGTCGATTTCACCTTCACAGGGAAATTGCATAGTTCTATTTGTCTGCCTGTGTCTTTTAGTTTTGAACATTTTGGAGATTTGCTTTTTTACATTTGATCCAACTACGAGTCCAACTATTACAGATTTTCATAATAATTCCCATCAAAATTTTATGATTGGTACACAAATAAACATATATTTATTAACAAGTAAAGAATATTCAGTCTCATTTCTTCTAGATTTGTTATATGCAGTATGTTCATTTCAAAACTTCCCACCTCTAATATTTTGATAACTGTATTTTCTAAAAAAATCCCAAAACATGTCAACAAATGTTATGGGGGGACAACTTTTTATTAAAAAATTGACTTACCCCCTTTCACCCCCTGTGCCCGGGAGCTACCCCCTTAAAAATTTTAAATAAGAAAGGTATCGAGTAATACCTCATTTGAAAAGTATTTTTTCCACCTGAAATGAAGGCGTTTTACTTTTTAAAATCGATCGACTCCTTTTCGACATACAGGGTTTTACTGAATTGTAGTATTTCGTTATATTTTTGATTACATAACTTTAACCATGAACTATTAATAGAATGCAATGACCTTATAATCAGTTGAATGATATGTAATGTCTATTCTATTTCTAATGTCTAACTATAGGTACTGCTCTTTCCTTAGCGCAAGCCAGTGGATATAACTCACTAGGTACTACCAATTTCTGCAAAATTTGTATTTATTTAAAAAGTCACTAATTTATTCAAAATGCATTAATAATCTTTTTATTACAGGTAAATTATCCCAAGGTGTTACTATGAGTCGTATCCTTCAAGATGTTAGAGAACATGTATCTCCACAGTCATGCAGTAGGATCCATTTAGTGGAAAGGAAAGATCTGCATAATATTAAGAGAGATTTTTCTATTAGCCCAGGCATTTTAGGTTTTGACCCTACGAAAAATAACGTAAATCTGAAAGTTCGCACAGTTGTTCTATTTGATGCTCTGAACAACATATAAAAAGTCCCAAGAGTTCCCATGTCGGCTTCCTTGAAGTTCGGGTTTTCGAAAGTCCGAACTCTTGAAATCTGCACGACGCCACTATAATTATAGCCTACCGAACGAACGGAAAAAGTCCCAGAGTCGCGGGAGGGCTTAAATTAAAGGTTAGTAACCAGGCTATCTTTTGATATTGTGACAACTTCCGGCCAGACAGGAAGTGGAAAAAGACCGCGAAACTTGACAAAAAAATTGGTTTTTGTTTTGACATAGGTGCGGTTTAGCGTCCGATATCGGAAAAATGACCAAAACAAATGTTGTAGAGCGTAGTTTTAACTTTAAAACCGTACCCTTTGCGTTGAAATCCGACCAATAGGAGGGGAGCTACAAACCGTTAAGTGCGATCCCACGCGCCGCTCGCCGTTGCGCGACTTGCCTGAGAGGTGCACCAGATCGACCAGATACGGTTGGCTTAATAGCGGCGCATCTCTGACTTATTTGTATTTTGACTGTGAGCGTTTTAGACTTTTGGGATGTGTTTAGTGCGTAAATTTTGAGGGAAACTGTACTGTATTTTTTTCTAAACAAAACAATCCAAATTAAAAATTGTTGAGTAAACTTCGTCGTAAAACAAAGACAGGTTCGCTGTTTTAATTCGACGTTCCTTCTCCATCGGATTCTTCGTCTTCGGACTGGGGTTCGGGAACATTATTACAGCTCCTGCCTCTACAATGGGCGCATGTAGGTTGGCAGAGCCGCACGAACAGCGATTAAAACAACCTTGCTGGCAAGCGCAAGAAATCAAATGTGGATGTTCGTCTGGTGCTGGTGGCAGACTTGTCGGATTTGGAACAAGTGCGGGCCCCATTTTTTTTAGCCCCAATCCGTTGGCAAAAGACAGTTCGATAGCCATTCTTGAACCTAAAATAAGGAAAATAGGAAATAGAATTAACTAAATCATTCTAAAAACTACTGTACAATCAGATTCAATATAAACATCTCGCTAGGAAAGATTGCCGGTCACAGAAGACCTGATCCCGGTCTACAACCTGTCTTTTTCTAAAGATGTGAGCGACTTCCAGGATAGGATCGTGCCAATCTTGAACGAAAAGTCTTTTCGTTCAACATTGGCACGATCCTATTCCGGAAGTCGCTCGCATCTTAAAAAAACATAGATTGTAATTTGACACAAGGTGCGCTGTGACCGGCAATCTTTCCTGGCGAGAGTTATACCGTCTTCTTTACTGCCGTAGAGATGAACAATAAATTTTTCACCAGCTGATACGATGGATTCTTTTGATGTGCCCGGTTTGTTGAACGTTGTCACCGCTCCGCATCCGTGGGACACGCTGAAAGGGAAAAAGAAAACAAAACAAACACAAAGGAAAATCTGGACAAACACGTAGCCTGGTTACAGCGGTGATCAAAGATCTGTTGCCGGCCGCTCGTCGGTGTAGGTCGAGGTCAAACTAAAAGTGTGCAAAAAAAAAATCCCAGGCGCCAGAAGCTGTATATAAGGTATCAAACAGATCGTGGATGGTTCTGCTTCCGCTTCCAAAGCAGACGAAACTGGCTGAAGTCAGACTCAGGAACACTAAATAGAAATAAAAGAAAGTAGGAGAGACGAAGTAGGCGAAGAAAGAAAGGTGCACAATATTTATTTATTCGGTAATCAATATAAAGTTCTGAAGAGATAGGTTAATTAGGGGAAGTGATAAAATTGGTTTTTGTATTTCACGGGACAACAAAAATTAGGTGGTGCGAGAATTATACCTGACGGCAACAAGAATAGTATAACAAAGGTTAGTGCCAGTAGACGTATACCGGTCAATGTTATTGATCAAAGTTAAAGGTTTGCAGGTTGCCGTGGAAAGATCTTTCATCGAGACGTGCAATTAGAGTGCTGCAGACAGACAGCAGTTATTCAGATTTAGGTAACTCTTGTTTTAGTCTTACAAAAATTTAAAGTAGTTGAAATGAATCACCGTGAAGCGGTAGTTGTATTGCACCTGACAGTTTTATACTTGAACTACAAAGGTAGTTGTCAAATATTAGTTTACACAAATTATAATTATAAACAGATTTTATTGAATAGATAGGTATGTGTGAGGTGAATGATTAAGGATATGAATGCATAACTGAGGACAAGAGATTACAGGGAGATAAGATAAGAGGGAAAAAGATAAGAAGGAGTAAGGGAAGAGAAGAAAGGGAGTGAGTGACTTCAGGGGTAGTTTTGGGAGAGGTTGCTGACCTTTTGGTGTTTTAGTAGTCGATGGTTGTATAACTGAAGATGGTTCCTCGGAAGCTGGTATAACTCGGGGTAGGTACAACAATAGGTACAACAATAGGTGTGCC